CATCATCAAGTCCATAAACGAGAAAGCCAACTATATGGACTGTGCATTTCTTGATTTTTCTTCCACTTTTGACCTGTTGTCCCATTCTATTTTTCTCAACAAGCTCCAATTATTTGGTTGTTCATCTCCTTATCCTGAATGGCTTGGTGATTGATTTTCGCAAAGATATTAGTATGTTAAATTGATAATGTTATGGTCTACAACTGACTGATACGTTTACCATACATACTTGTGACCAGCTTGACTGGTTGATCGATGGGGTCACTGTTTTTGAATACCCGCTTGATGGCATTCGGATGTAGTGTGACATGTGAACCGGTATCGTCCTGCCATCCTACGTGTTGGCGTTTCTGCTTACTGTCCGGCCACATAATTGCCGTTTACAATAAATGTACGGCTTAATTCCTCGTGTGCTCAACTACATACTAAAACTGGGATACAACAGGAAAGAAAACAGTCAACGGCGTCACTCAATATTTCGGCTGTACTTCTTTTTGTCACCTAACTATTACTCTCCCGTTATGATGTTTTGAGCAGGTTGATGATATGACCATTTCTGCTTCCGTATCTAACCAATCAGAACTGACTGAATACATCACAAACTTAGCCCACCTCGTTACGTATCTCATTTCATTCGGTCTTGATCTCAATCTCGAAAAATGCCTTAAATGTATTTTTTCTTTAAACCTTTCCCAATCTCACTCTGACAAAGTAAAAATTCAGCGAAAACCGATGAGCAAGGTCAGCCATATGAAGTACTGAGGTGTCACACTTGAATGTAACCTTCGTTTGTCTTTACACACCCAAACTGTTGCTCGTAAGCTGAAAGTTCTTTCCTTCTATGATATGCTTGTGGGCGGAACACTGCCAGATTGGTCAGGCCAAGGTAGGGGAATTCTCAATCAGAGCCTTCGGCTAATCATAGCATGACCCGCAAGGCAACAGTGCGGTGTGCGCAAACCGCGACCCACTGGGGTCTGGCATCGGATCATACACTCTTTGGACGGAGTTAAAAGTCTAAAGTGCCCAATACACCTCGATGTCAGGAAGGTGTGTGTGTGGTTTAAACGCCTCTTCTTGGTTGGTTTAGAATCAGGGTTTTCAGTCGACTACCCTAGATGAACGGCCAATGGCTCGTCGACCCGGATGTCGGCTTTTCGTCCTCTCACTTTTGTGGAAAAACACCTTCGCCCCACGAGAAGGCAGTGAGTAGGGCTTCCTCAGCAGAGGTTATTTGAGACGCATTTTGCGCGGTGCAAGGGAGGGGTGACTAGCTAAAACCCAAGACACCCACACCCAACGATAGTGAGGCTTTCAGAGGCATGTATACATCATCGTAACTGCATGTGAACGGGTTGTACACCGTGTGTGTGATTGATTCCGCGACTAGAGACAGTGAGTTTGATTTGAGTAACTGGGATTGTGCGGTTTAGAGCGGACTTCAAGTTTTGGCGCACGGCACTAAAAACGTGGTCATCTTTGACAGCAAGCTCGAGGTAGACAAACTTTTTCCCAATGCTCGGAATGGGCAAAAATCATGGATCAGGAATCCTAACCGCAATTTAGTCACAGAATTGCATCAGTCGCTATCTGTCGAGGTTTACGGTGAGAGGCAAGAAGAAAGACCACTGATGTTCATTTAATGGGATGTCAGTGGCTAAACAGGCATCAACTAATCGTCGTTCGTGATCTCCACCTCAGATGAATGACTCTTGAATTCTGATTTATTGTGTTGAAACTGTAACGTATAGCTCCCGGGAGGCAGGGTTTGGATCACTTAAGTTATCATTTTAGAACTGTCTACGAATCTTCCTGTGTAACCATTGTTTAGAGATGTTAGGAAGAAGAATTTCGCAAACAACGAAGCGCGAGAGACTTAGGAATAGGATCCAGACTGTTTTGCATGCACAATATTGGTCGAAGTGAAGTCTCTAGGTTGTGAACTTTGGGCGAACCCCTATATTCCCGATGTTTCACTTCTCNTCTCATTCCAATTCCAATTGCCTCTATTAGGCTTCAGATATGTGATCATACGGTAACACGATCTGTACCTTTTTTTTGAGATGAGGCCTTCGATGTGCTGATTATTGTCTGATGCATGTCCGATTCGGAATTTTCTATCACCCGAAATAACTTCATTTATTTTGGCAATCAAACTGTCTTTTTTCCGTGATGAGCATTCTGAAACCTTTGTGTCTGGGTGTAAGGAATTTGAGGGCTTTCATGTTTAGTATTGTTCCGGACTGAGGCAGCAATAACGCCAAAGCGATGCTGTCAGAAATGATCCA